CGTCGGATGATCCCAGCGCTGTTGCTGACTCTGTCACTGATGTGGTGCTACAGGGAATGGAACTATTTATTCCATAATCTGTGATACCCATCGGAGGCAGATCTCAGCCTTGGTTTGGTCGCTCCTGTAAGACTGCATTACGCAGTAAGCAGGAGTGTTATCAAGTCTGGACTGCGGCTTCAGCGACTCGGGATGAAAACACCAGCATACTAAAAAAGAAGTATAACTTCGCGTCCAGGTCCTTCAAAAGAGTTATTACCAAGGCAAAGTCAGAGCATATTTGGCAGAATTGAGCAGAATTGGCGAGAAACTAGTTCGCATTCCTTCGGGAACCCGTGCATTCTGGTCTCTCGCCAAGGCTGTCCAAGGTAATTTCTGTAAGCCATCACTACCATCTCTGCACAGGGAGGACGACTCACTGGCCCAAGACGCAAAAGACAAAGCCGACCTTTTAGGCTCCCTTTTTGCGTCCAACTCGACTCTTGACGACCATCCTGCGGTGAGAGTGCTTCATGCCGGATGTGCTGTTCTCACAGCGCTCGGTTCGCAAAGCACTCCTCTCCCTGGACATCCAGAAGTCGATAGGACCTGACGGAATCCCCCCAATTGTGCTGAGGACGTATGCTCCGGAGTTGGCACCGGTCCTATCGCATCTTTTCCGGTACTCCTACTCCCAAGGCGGGTTTGGCACAAAGCGCTTCTTTCGAAGCTGCCTTCCTATGGGCTTCCCGAGAAATTGTGCAATTGGATCACCAGTTTTCTTGCAGATCGGACCATCAAGGTCGTAGTAGACGGTGCATGCTCCGATTACAAGCCCATTAACGCTAGCGTTCCACAAGGCTGCGTGCTATCACCAAAGCTGTTTCTTCTGCATATCAATGATATATTGCAAACCAGTAACATTCATTGCTATGCAGACGATAGCACTGGTGATGCTTTATACACCGGCCGTGCCAATATATTTCGGGAAAACGTCGCCGAGTACCGGAACAAACTTGTGTCTGAAGTCGAGACTTTGTTAAACAAAGTCAGACTGGAGGCGAATAAATCTAGTCCAGTTCAATCCCCAGAAGACACAACTTTACCGCTAAAAAGAACCCCTTTGCCGTATCTCCTCAGTTTCAAGGCACTCCCCTTGTTGCCTCAGCCAGTATCGGAATCCTCGTCGTCGACATGTCGAGTGACGTGCAGTTTCGTGGTCACTTGGAAGAGAAGGCCAAATTGGCCTCTAAAAAGCTTGGCGTGCTCATCAGAGCGGGACAGTATTTCATGCGGGCACACCGTTTGCAACTTTACAAGGCGCAGGTTCGGCCTCACATGGAATACTGTTCCCATCACTGCAGGTGCTGCCCAGTGCCAGCTCTTTCCACTTGACCGCATCCAGTGATGAGCGGCTCGAATCGTCGACGACCGAGTCCTTTCCGATCGGCTCTATTCATTGGCACTGCGAAGAGATGTTGCATCCCTTTGCATTTTATTTCGCATCTACCACGGGGAGTGCTCTGAGGAATTGTTCGGATTAATCCCAGCCGCCAAATTTCACGAATACACATCGCGGCAGAACTCCCGATACCATCCACACCATCTGGATGATTGGTGGTCCACCACTGTGCGATTTAGAAGATGTTTTCTTCCTCGCACGACTTCCTTGTGGAATCGATTACCATCAGCGAATTTTCCGGACCGATACGACTTAGGGATCTTCAAGAAAAGAGCGTATTCCTTTTTCAAAGGCCGGCAACGCATCTGCGTTTCCCTCCCTGGTGTTGCAGCTATTCATGGGCGGCGGTAGTCACTTACCATCAGGTGAGCCACATGCGTGTTTGTCCCTTCTCCTATAAAAAAAATAAATATTTGCAGTCTATGAATAAATACAAAATAGGCGTTTATTTTGAAAAGCCCTCTCTAGCGAATGCATTTTTAAAAAATGTTACACTTCTTAACGAATACAAAATGAAGGCATCTATCCCAGCTTTAGGGACAGAAACAACAGGAGTCATAACTAGTGTTCCCACTAATCTTTCTAATTCAAGAATTTTTGGTATGTTAACGACTTACAGGAAGATAATATGTGTTAAAAGGATAATGAGGAAACATAATGACGCAGGACGCAGTTTGCTGCAGCCGATGGGCACCGTAGCCATCGCGTTCGCTTCTAATGTTTTGCCGGACCACGTCGATATTCATGGTTGGTGGTTCGTGGTAAATCAGTATACTCCACCAGTGAAGCAGTGCTACAACTGTCTGAGGTATGGTCACTTAGCAAAGTACTGTAAAAATTCTGTGAAATGCTCAATTTATACTGAAAATCACAGCTACAAAGATTGCCAAGTCTCTTCAGATAAAGCGATATGCATACATTGCAAAGGAAACCTTATCTATTCTAAAGGAAATCTAAGCTATTCTGGACAGTGTCCTGTTAAGAAACAAAAGATAAAAGAAAATCAGGCTAAATAACACAAAACCCCGTTTGTAGACCTTTTTAACAAAAACGGAATCCCCGAATTACACAAAAAAAATATCCTAAAGATGCTCTTATGTCACTGCTAAAGAATTATAACATCATTAATATAATTTTAAATAGAGTCATTAAAGTATTAACTTTTTTTTATAGGATCGAGTGACAAACGAGCACACAGTTCACCTGATGGTAAGTGGTTGCTGTGGCCCATGGACATCTACATTTATTTTCGTTTGCGAATCAAAACGCAGATGCGTTGTCACTCGTGAGGACTAAGATGGAATGCCTCTTTTCCAGTAAAAAGGGTCTCCGGTTCTCTACACTCACCATACGAAACACAGCAGTGTTAAACTGCTATTTGACGCTAGTATTCTGTGAGAGCGTGGTCCTTCCCCGGCCGAGCCGACCAATTTGTGCTACAACTATACTACTAATATAGCTGCAGCGTGGCTCTACCACGTAAAACCACCATGTCTTTTCAGCTTGTTAAAGATGTTCTCATAGATACAATTAAACCAAAATAGATATTTCATTATTTCACATTTAATATTTTATGGATCAGTTTACCATTTTACAATGGAATGCACAGAGTTTAATTAAAAATCGCTTTCAATTTACACAATTTTTATATGAGAACACTATAGATGTTGCTCTCATATGTGAAACTTGGCTTAAACCTAGAGCCTAATGATTCTCTAGGCAGCTATCATTTTCCTGTAAAGACAAAAATTACGGTCAATAATCAAAATTTTCAAGAAACAGCTGTATCAAATAACATAAACTTAAAATTGGTAGATTGGTTGAAATATCCAAATTTAATAGATAATTTATCTAAAAATTATAGTTTTGATTATAGTAATCCTTTACAATGTTATACAGATTTAATAGAACTAGTTAAACAAGCCATGCATGAATCCACACCATCCAATCAGTCTTCTAATCGAAATGTTAACATCAACTTGCAATCTCTTAAAATAAATTAAAAAAAAATTCTCTAACTTGGTGGTATTTAAAATGCAGAGGCAGTATTAAATTGCAAAAATGCATATTTAGTATTTAAGAATGATCCCACAGAACGAAATTATATTAATTTTAAAAGACTACAAGCTGATAAAAATTACTTTGAAGACTGAAAGACAGCTTAGCTGGAAAATACTATGTGAAACTTCTAATAGATCTACTCCATTGACTAGAGTATTGAATTACATTAAAAAGTTTAACAAAACTTTTGTTCATAATAACACATCAGTCATAGGTTCTAATTGGGCTAATGAATTTTTGGAAAAATATACTCCAGAAACAGATGAATCACCTCTAACTCCTCACTCCTCAAATGATAATCATTGTGATTATCTTACCAAATCTTTTACCTTGACCGTATTCAATTCAGCTGTTAACTCCAGAAAGGACACTACTTGTGGTTTAGATTCTGTTCCATATAAAGCTTTTAAAATATGAATACTGCGTGTATAGAACTAGTTTTGAAAATATATAATATGTTATTGTTTCATTCACTTATTCCTAACGATTGGAAAGAAGATTGTTTGATACCCATTTTAAAGCCTGAAAAAAAACCTCACATTGCAGAATCTTGTATGGGTAAAATATTTGAGCAACTTATAAAATCTAGATTAGATTTAGAAAAAAATTGTCTTTAACCATGAAATCAGTTTGGATTCAGACGCCGTAAGTCATCTTGAGAAAGTATTGCATTTCTTCATTTGTACATCTTTAAAACTATGGAAAATAATGAAGTATTAATTAGTATATTCTTTGACCTTGTTGGTGCATTTAGTAACGTTAATCTTCATGTACTCGCCGCAGAGTTGAGGTCTTTGGGCATTCCTTAAAAATTTGTAAAATGGATATTTAAGTTTTTACATGAAAGAAGAGTTTTTGCTAAAGTTAATAATAATAATACAATTTTTGGTCCTGGGCTCAGTTATAAAGGTGTTTGTCAAGAAGGAATATTAAGTCCCCTTGTCTTTATTTTAGACATATTTAAATTATAAATAATATTTTAGGATCAAATGTTACTAATTGTAAAGACTTGGTTCCAGCCTTTACACTTTAAAATTTTATATATTCAAAATAAAAAAGACAAGGCTGTATGGCTTAGTTCCTTTGCCTGCTCTCCCGAGCGAATAATAAAAACAACAACAACAATAAATATTAAACGCGTAGTGCACAGGCGTGGTGTTCCTAAGGGTATTAGTGTTCTGTGGTGGTGTTTCTATATAGTTTGTGATATTAAATAATGTTTCAGTTTCCTGTATAGGACAATTATTATACTCTTTGGTTTCAGTATATAAAAAGTACTATGTGTAAATATGTATGGATATTTTTAAATACCTAATATTATTGTTGATGACTTGTTTTTGTTGATTGTTCCAGTTGTAATAAAAAAATTCTGGATGGTAAACAATAAAATAAATATTCTAGGTATATAAAGATATAAAAAAAGTTACCTGTCTTCTTTCTGTTATAAACCAATGATTAAATTATTAAGTTTTTCTTCAAAACACTTTTTATTGAAGTTATGTTTTTATTAGGTATTTTTATACATTTAAGCTTTTTGTTTTCTATTTTTGACATATATTTTAAATCTCCTGTTGTCAAAAATGTTTTGCCTTATGAACCACATCACGAACCCTTAACTAATCGTCTTATTCTCATTGTGGTTGACGGGCTAAGAGCGGAGACCTTTCTGAACCACTCTTTTATGCCTTACCTCAGGTAAATGTTTATTGTGACAGCATCTTCACATGTGACAATTTTTTATCTTTACATGTATAAAAATTACACTATCTATTTTCTCAATTATGCAGGTCCATTGGAAATTCTTATGGGAGATGGGGAATTTCCAATACACGGGTTCCTACAGAATCCCGTCCTGGACATGTAGCTATAATAGCTGGTTTTTATGAAGACCCCTCAGCCGTGGCCAAGGGATGGAAAGAAAATCCTGTAGATTTTGATTCAGTATTCAACAGAACAACTTATACTTGGTGTTGGGGAACTTATGATATTGTGGATATTTTTACTAAAGGAATCATTGATGATCACATATTTGTCAATAAATTCAATCCCTATGATCAATCTTTTAGTGCAGATAAAAATACAACACTCTTAGATCAGTGGGTTTTTTATAATGTAAAACAGCTATTTGAGAAGGCTCAAATTGATGTTGATATTAAAAAGAAACTACAAAATAATAAAATAATATTATTTCTACATTTACTGGGCACAGATACTGCTGGTCATACTCATAAGCCAAAGACTTTGTAAGTGTATAATTCTTCTTCTTCACAAGCCTTAAACCAGGGTTACTTGCAGGCAAGACATAGACCTTTTTCATGTTAGGGAGGATTTGCTATAGTTTGCGGTAACGGATTCTCTTACACTGCCCCCACATGACAACTAAATATCTACAATTAACAACATATATACAACTAACAAATAATCAATAAACTTAAATAGATATTCTAGTCTGTGTACTCTAACATATACTAGTTTTTAGAAAATTTGGTCTTATTGCTTGCTGCTATTAAAGCATTTTATTATGTGGAAGAGGTTGTTTTCTGTAAGGAAAATATAAACCCAAACTTGTTTGAGTTTTTGGTACCAACCCAAATGGTTTATTAATGTCTATTTTGTTATTGTTTCCACCACTAAGCAATAGTGTACACTGCTGTGGTTCCAGTTTAAAGTTTATTACCCATGGATGAAGTTACTGCTGGTATAGGTAATTTGAGGTTGAAAGCCTGTGATGCACACTCCTCTTTCTTTAAAATTGCAGGTGTCAATAGTTAACTTTAACCATTAAGTAAACTGTTAGCTTGATCTACACTATAAAATTATTAATAGCTAATTCTATCTTATTAATAAAGTATAAAAGCATAAAAGAAATAATCTAAATTTTGTGCCTATATTTATTAACTTTAGGCTTTAATTACAATCAATTGTTGACTGGCGTAGTAGAAGACCTTCATGCTGTCAGTGAATTGTACATAATAGAATGTTAACTATAAAGACTTCATTAAAATCAGGGTGTGAGCTAGTTGGTTTTCTGAGTTTTAATATTCTCTTTACCCATTTTTAAATTGTAAAAGAAATAGTAATTGGTTAAGACTAGGTCTGGTGTGCGTGGAGAATTAGGTGTGGTTTCCAATTGCAGGTTTTGTTATGATAACTTTTAAGTGAACACAAAATATTATCAATATTTTTCTACAGGTAAGATGCATTTTAAGGCATTGTTCCAGTATTTACCTGGGATCAGCCATTTTTTTTTTTGCTTGTGATTAGTGTAAAGAATCCATTTTCGATTACAAATCACAATTCTGTACAAATCCCTTCATTTTTGTACTTATGAGGCAAGGCAAGCTTCAACATGTTCCTGTATGCACATCAGTTAATTCATGAGGCTCCTCTTATGTAAAATTTTTTGCCAATTTAAAAAAAGTTTGAAGTTCTCTGTTCCAATTTATATTCTTTTATAGTGTATGTATTATGAACAAATTTTAATGATTCTTTTTATATTATATTGGTTATACTCCAGGTGTGAAGAGACAATGGCCTGGCCATATAGCTTGAAGAACCGAAAATAAAGGTTCTAAATAAAGTGTAGGTTTTAAAGAAGGGTAGTACCCCATGTACTACCATAGAGGATTTCTGGATTGTTTCCAGTAGAATATATTGTTTGTTTGATAATAAAATGAGTTCTTTTCTAGGAACTATGTAACTACAGTAAAATATGTTGATGAAAATATTAAAAAAATTGAAAGTATTATTAGAGATTTCTACAATGATGATGGTAAAACAACATTTCTTGTAACTTCTGATCATGGGATGACAGATTGGGGTAATTTTTTTATTATTTTCATATTAATTTATTACCTATAACAATCCACTAATACACTTTCTTAGCTAGACTATTATTATTTTATATTTATATTTGGTATGCTTGGCAGGCAGATTGGCCATCTCAGTATTAGATTATTATTTTTTAATGGTTTGTTCCAATTTTATTTTCTTCAACTTTTCAAATGTAGTGTGGTAAAGAAACTAATATACATGATGTTTATTTTTTACATTATAGGTTCCCATGGTACTGGTGACAATCATGAGACACAAACACCATATATTTTGTGGGGAGCAGGTGTGCAACAAGTTGTTGGGTTAAACATAGACCCTAAAACCAAAAATATGTCTTTGGAACATAGATTTGACATACAACAAGCAGATTTAGCTCCATTGATGTCAACTTTTCTGTCAATTCCTGTTCCAGTAAACTCAATTGTAAGTGTTAAGCGAAGATTTTTTGTATGGAATAATAATAAATATTTTCATCATCATTACAACCCTTCACAAGTCCACTGCTGAACATAGGCCTCCCCCAAAGAATGCCACAAAGCACGGTCCTGAGCCACCTGCATCCATCGACTTCCTGCATATCTTACCAGGTCATCACTCCATCTAGTGGGGGGACGCCCTACACTTCGCCTGCCGGTACGAGGCTGCCACTCGAGAACCTTTCTTCCCCATCGGTTGTCGGTTCTTCGAGCTATGTGGCCGGCCCATTGCCACTTCAGCTTACTAATCCGTTGTGCTATGTCGGTCACTCTGGTTCTACTGCGGATATCCTCATTTCTGAGTTTATCACGCAGAGAAACTCCGAGCATAGCCCTCTCCATAGCTCGCTGAGCGACCTTGAGCTTCCTCATCCGGCCAGCAGTGAAGGACCACGTCTCAGTTCCGTATGTCATCACTGGCAACACGCACTGGGTGTACAGTCTCGTTTTCAAGTTTTGAGGTATACCTGACGAGAAGATGTGCCGTAATTTCCCGAACGCTGCCCAACCGAGTTGAATCCGTCGATTGACCTCTCGGTCGAAGTTGGACTTACCTAGTCGGACTATTTGTCCCAGGTAAACATACTCGTCAACAACTTCGAGCTTAGTGTTCCCAACAACTACCGGCATAGGTGTGACATGGACATTAAACATGATCTTTGTTTTGTCCATGTTCATCTTAAGACCTATCCGTTGGGAAACACTATTGAGGTCATTGAGCATAGTGCTTAGGTCCTCCAGCGATTCTGCCATAAGGACTATATCGTCGGCAAATCGAAGGTGAGTGATGTACTCGCCATTGATGTTCATACCGTATCCTTTCCAGTCCAGAAGCTTGAAAACATCTTCCAATGCAGCGGTAAAGAGTTTCGGGGATATGACGTCACCCTGTCTTACACCTCTCTGCAATTGGATAGGTTTCGTACTCTGGTTCTGTACTCGGATAGCCATCGTAGCCCTACTGTACAAGCACTTCAACACTTCGATATACCGACAGTCAACTTGGCATCGCTGAAGGGACTGCAGCACCGCCCAAATTTCGACGGAATCAAAGGCTTTCTCATAGTCCACATACGCCAGACATAGTGGCAAATTGTACTCCTCGGACTTCTGTACAATTTGCCGAAGGGTATGTATGTGGTCTATGGTGCTAAAGCCTTTTCGGAAACCGGCTTGTTCGGGAGGCTGGAAGTCGTCAAGTCTGCGCGCGAGACGATTCGTAATGACTCTCGAAAACAGCACGTAGACGCGGCTCAGAAGGGAAATCGGTCTGTAGTTCTTCAAGAGAGCGTTGTCGCCTTTCTTGAAGAACAAGACCACCGCACTTCTGCTCCACGCCTCCGGTGTAATGCCACCATGGAGGACGGAATTAAAGAGCTTCTGAAGGACTTCAAGTACCGGTTTTCCACCCGCTTTCAGAAGCTCCGCTGTAATTCCATCCTGGCCTAGGGCCTTGCCGTTTTTAAGGTGCTGGAGAGCCATTCTAATCTCGCTCAGACTGACGTCCGGGATATCATCGGAATAATGTCGGATAAGACTCGCTCTTGGATCGTTACTCACACTTGCGTGTGGCTCCAACGATGACGTGTACAGCTGCCCATAGAACCTCTCAATCTCACTCAAAATCTCAGGTGCCCCGGAAACGATGCTGCCACATTCGGTCTTCAGCCTTGACAGTTGGCTCTTTCTGGCAGACAGATCTCTGGCAAAGACTTTGGAGCCTTGGTTCCGCTCGATCGCTTCTTCAATACGAGCTGTATTGAAGTTGCGTAAGTCCCGCCGCATGCATTTGGAGATCTGTCTGTTCAGTTGCCTGTATGCTGTCAAATCTGTTGAAGAATGTAGCTTCATCTCCCGTCTAACAGCCATGAGATTAAGAGTGTGATCGGAGAGTTTTTGTGTTCTTCTGCGGCGGGTCTTGCAGAACTTAGCTCCGACCGCATGGACAGTTTCCACGAGCTTGTCATTCAAATCGTCCACTTCATTGCAGTCTTCTAGGCACTGAAAACGGTTTTGCAACTCGAGCTGAAAGGTTTCGGGACTTTGGATTAGAGCACGAGGGGGACGGAGCGTTGACTTCATTAGACGAGACCTCTCCAACTTAACGTTTAGGTTCAGTGTGCCTCTAACCATTCGGTGATCGCTGCCGGTTTTCACCCTCGCGATCACTGAGACATCACTGAACAGTTGTCGTCTGGTCGTCATAATGAAGTCAATCTCATTTTTTGTCGAACCGTCGGGGCTCGACCAGGTCCACTTTCTGTGGGGCCGCTTCTGGAAGAAAGAGTTCATCATAAAGAGTCCCTCTTTCTCCATGAAGTCGGCCAACTGCTGGCCCCTTGGGTTCCGTTGCCCTATTCCAAATTTCCCCACTTTCAGCTCACCGTTCTCTCTTGTGCCTAGTTTTGCATTGAAGTCTCCCATTAACACCGTATATTGGGTATTGGAGGAATGTATGGCTCTAGAGATATCCTCATACATTTCCTCCACCTCCTGATCGGGGTGTGCCGAGGTTGGTGCGTAAACCTGTATGACCTTCAGCGAATACCGTTTGGTGATTCTGAGTATAAGGTACGCAACCCTCGTCGACACACTCTCAATCTTTACAACGTTGTTAACGAGAGACTTGTGGACGATAAATCCGACACCTCCTTGGGACAGATGGTCGCCCTCCCGGTAATAGAGCAAGTTGCCGGATTCGAGGATTACCGTGTCCTCCCCCTCTCTTCGGACTTCGGATAATCCTATAATATGCCAGCGTAACTTGTCTATCTCTTCTTCCAGCTCCACAATCTTCTCGTCAGTCCTCAGGGTGCGTGCGTTGTATGTTGCCAGGTCGAGTCGTTGTAGGTGGCAACCGAACCTCCACCGGAGATTCTTAGCACCCCCTGCCCCGCCGTTACCATGGTCGCCACCGTAGCCAGGAATAGCGGGGCCGCCGGGGACTGGGGGCCGTCTCTTCGTAACTTTCATTATGGGGGGTATTTTGCCATAGTTGCCACGCTTGGCGAGCGGGTTGGCAACCGCAGTTTTTTTATTGTAATTTTGGCTATTATCAGGAAGATGCTGCTGCCCATCTCCTGCCTGTTTCCCTTTGTCGCCTTTTACGACACCCACGGGAAGATATGGGGTAGTGGATATTCTTAACCGCCACTACACGGCGTAATAAATATTTTAATTCACTTTAATTAACATCGTCAGCATCATTGCAACCCGTTATGAGTCCACTACTGAGTGAGCCACCATCATAGAATTTCTCCTACAAAAATATCGTGCTTGGACTTATTATTCCATTTTTAAATAACAGAACTGAAAAAATCATATTCAATGGTAAAGGTTCCTCCGGATCTGTAGTATCAGTGAGCATTCCTCAGGGTTCAATTCTTGGCCCATTCCTGTTCTTAATATTTTTTTAAATATTATTCTATACTCTGGCTTAACTACAATCCCACCTGATGGTAAGTGGTGATGTAACCTAATATGGTGAAGCACACTGACTTAACGAAAGCCTATTCACTCTTGCCTTGAAGACATCCACATTGTAATCGAATGGAAACACAGTTGCTGGCAACTTATTTCACTCCTTTGTTGCACCCATGATGAAAGATGTAGCAAACAGTTTGGTTCGAATGTGTGATAAGTCAACAACCGAAAGGGTGGAGACTGGCCGAACGTCTGATTGGCCGATGGTGGAAGGAAGAGAGAGGAATTAAATTATGCAAATACTGCACACACTTTTTGAAATGCATCCTTTAGAAAACCGAAAGGTAAGTAGCCAATACTTTGCACCTGTATTCGACACTAGTAAGACTGGTTTTAACCGAATTCGGGTCACCAATAAGCCTCTTCGCATGTCTTTCCATTGAGTCCAAGGCTGCTAGGTGGTATTTTGCAGTACCAGCCCATATATGGCAGCAATACTCCATGCACGACCAGACTTGCATTTTATATAAAGTAAGCAGCTGTCCCGGTGTGAAGTATCGCCGCACCTTTGCAAGGACTCCTAGCTTCCTTGCAGCTGCTTTGGCCTTGTAGTCAATGAACTACCCGAAGTTCATATTTGAGGATATCTCAACCACCAACAAACGAAGGTGGTTGGTGGATTCCAGTGATACATTTCGGAAAGAAAGAGCTAAGGTGAGCTGGCTCCTTTTGACAGTGAAGAGACACACTTTTATTTTGGAGGCGTTAAATTTCACAAGATTGGCATCACTCCATTCGGAGACTACCGGTAGTGTGAGATTCACACGCTCTACCATAGTTTCTCTTTCGGACTGGATTTGTGCCCGACTGACCCGAGGACTTGGTTGGTATCTCTACAACTTTGCTACTGTCTGCATATCCATAGATACCGGTCATAAACAGATCATTAATATGCAGCAGGAAGAGAGTTGCAGAGAGAACACCGGTGTTAGTCTCAACAGGATCGTATGAGCAGCCATAGACGACGACCCGGAGAGACTGTTCACTCAGAAAGTCCTTTACCCAGTCCATCAAACCAGGGCATAGTCTTACGCTGGAAGCTTACCCAAAAAGTTAGTGTGATAAAGAAATAGCTCTTTATGCCTTTCTAGATATTGAGGGCGCTTTCAACAGTAGCCCCACATTATTGCTGGTTGGGGGCTTGACATCTAAAAATGTTGACCCCACGACCACCAGGTGGGTTCATTCGATGCTCTCAAACAGAAAGATAATATAGCGCAGTTTTAAACTTAGAGTGAGTTTGCAACTACGAGAGGTTATCCAACAAGGTGTATTGTCACCCCTTCTTTGGAATCTCGCGGTTGACCAATTATTGTACAAGATGGTAGACCTTCGCATTGATACACTGGGTTACGCTGATGTCCTTGTGGTCATTGCGAGGGGTTTGTTTTTGGAACATGCAGTCGTATGGTTGGGAACAACAATATGATCCCATGGCTGTACAGCAGCATAGTCAGGCAGGTAGCCGATTATTACCTACGCCTCCAGTGTTTGGTGTAATAAGGCCAACCAAAGGACGACTGCGGACAGGCTAAATAGTCTACAAAGGACTGCCTGTTTAATGGCAACTGGAGCGATGCGATCATCGCCAGGAGCGGTTCTAAATGCATTTGTATGCCTAACGTTCCTTGATCTTTATTTAGACAAGGAGACGAGAGCTAGATTGTATAGGATTAACGCCCAGGGCGGTCTGAGCTTGCTTTCATACATATTGAGATCCCTGCTTAACTCAATGAGGGAAACACCGATTTTATGCATGATTCATGGAAATCAACCCGCAAACACTACGTCAACCATATTATTTATATAAGCTCTGATAGCTTATACAACTTAGTGAACTCGAAGCTAGTTGGAGACTGCGTGAACCGTCTAAACGCCCTGGAGTGTAACAACATGGTCGTTTTGAGATGGGTTCCGAGTCATGCGGGTATTGTAGGCAATGAACTTGCCGGCAAGTTCGCACAGGAGGGCTCAAAGATATGTGCACCCGAGTCATTTTGTGGAATATCAATAAGCCTAGCAGATTGATCCTTGAAACTATCACAATAAATCACTTAAGATCTAATCTGATACACCAGGCTTAAAATCTTCTAAAACCTAAATCCGGACTTATGATCGTAAATTCGCTTCAGAAGCCCTAGGATTGAGTAAGAAATCTGGTCTGATACACAAGGCTTAAAACAATGTAAAACCTTAATCCTCCAGGCTTATGATCGTAAATTTGCTTCAGAAGCCCTAGGATTGATGAAGAATAAACTGCATATTCTGGCAAGAGCCCTGACTGGACACTATTGTCTAAAAAAAGACGTCTATCCAGGGACTAAGCAACTCAAGGATGTGCCGATTCTGTTCCTTAACGGAAGAAACACCTCTGCACATCCTAACTGATTATGGACCCTTAATGTGCAAATGTAACACTCATCTGGAAAACTATGTACTTAGCACAGAAGAAGTAAAATTGCTCACAGTTAAGCAACTCCTTCAATTCATTGAAAACAACTTAGCAGTGAACTATAGCCATAGCAGCGATCACAATAGACCTTATAGGTCGCTGAGATACTGATCTTTCTTGAACTGAAAAAAAAATGCTGTAAGAAAGAAGTCCCACCAATGATGAGTCGGCTATACTAGAATTATTTTGTCCGTGCAGTTTGGGTCATAAATCATCGAAGTATTTCGCTCTCTCTCCCACTCACGGACCTTAGGGGCGAGCATAGTGATAGTAATATTGTTGTCGATAAGCGTTATCGATAATGTATTTAGTTTTGTCATTATATGTGTTAGTGATAAAAATTAAAAAAAATTGATAAAACATGCTTCATGTGAAGAACAATAATAAATTGGTTTATATATGAAATTAAAGATTCTAGGTATTTAAGGGATTCATATTATACAAATTAGTATGTACTCGAAGGTCTAATAGTATTTCAGTTACGGGGGATTCGAAAGTTGCTCAAAATGGTTCAAATAAAATTTACACACTGCCCTTGCATTGCCACTTATTTTTTCAACTTGGCGTGTGTCTACATTAATTTAGTAATTTTATGTTTATGATAAAAATATTTCAGGGTAAATTACCAGTTGACTTATTAAATATGACTTTACCAAACAAAGCTAAGGCCATTTACAGCAATTGTAGACAATTATTATCTCAGTACAACAAAAAGAGGCTTGATATTGAAGAAAATGCTTTAACGGTGTTATATAAGCCATATAAATTACTGACTCCAGAAAGAGTTGAAGAAATAACTGCATTCACAGAAAAATTATTAGAAGAAGAACAATACGAACAATTGATTTTGATTAGTGAGGAAATCATTAATCTGAGTTTATCAGGTCTCATGTATTACCACAATTATTATCAACATCCTCTTTTATTTGCAACCACTTTGTCTTTCTTAGGATGGGTAGCATGTCTGCTAAACATTTTGTTAGAACAAAAAGTTCATATACATGTAGAAAATTTAGACATGAAAAAGGGGGGTTCTTGTAATGTAAATTATAAATTAAATAACTGGATAAAATCAGTATCAACATTTATGAACATATTAACAGTTTATCTAGTTTATGGTAGGTACACATATATTTTACTTGTTTTACTTTTATATGTTACTTGTGTAGTATTTGTTCCAATTTTTGTCATTTTGTATTCTGTTTTATTTGTGAGTAATTGACATTAAATACTATTTCAGCACAAAACTTGCCATTTCAGTATTATGTATATTTCTTAATGCCAATTTTGTTATGGACAAAAGTGTTATTATCATTCAAGCAGTGGATGTATACATTAAGACTGCTACAAAATAACAGAGGTGTTTTACAAGTAATGGCTGAAATAACATGCTATGTGTTGGGGTGTTTGGCAATGGTAATAATAATATTTTAGTTTGTTATATTCCTAATTATATTTTGTTTTATTTATTAAATTTTACTTTTTAGGGATTATCATTTACTTACAGATGGATGTTAAGCTTTCCATTACTTGGTATGGGTCTTTGGCCATATTTTTCTTTATCAAGACATAAATTGTCGAAATCATTACTGTTTTTTTGGACAATGGGATGCATGTTGCTGAGCATGTTTTCATTCATTCCTGTAGTTGGGAAAGAAGTTTTTATAGAACTCGTGTAAGTTAATCTTTAATATTTTTCATTACATATTAGTAGACTATTCATTTTCATATGTCTTATAATTTGAAATTGTATTGTTATTCAGGTTAACAGCAGGAATTGTTTGGTTGGTAGTTATTGTGACTTATTCATGGTATATACAACCATTATATAATATTAGTGGAGATTGTAAGAAAGAAACTTTAATAGAAATTATACAAGCTGTGATATTAGCAATTTCACTATGTATTATAAATACACAAGCAAGGAAATTTGATTCCGGTGCACCACTTTCTACATTTCTGCAAAATGTATGTTGGATTTTTTTAGGTAAGTTTATTCTTGTTCTAACTTCACCAGACCGTAATAGTCTCCTGCATGATGCGGGCCTCTCCACTGTAGGCAGGGTTTACCTGACTCGCCATGCTTGGCAGGCGGACTAACAATCTCAGTACCAGTACTCTCGCACCTTTAACGCTGCTCACCTTTACCAGTCTGTGTAATTACGTCTGGTTTAAAGGACATGGTTAATACCACCCTATTGGATCCGAAGCTTCTGGTATATTTTTTTTATAGGATAGGGTGACAAACGAGCACACAGTCCACCTGATGGTAAGTGGTTGCTGTCGCCCATAGACATCTACATTTATCCTCAATAAAGAACAAAATGCAGATGCGTCGTCACCCGTGAGGATTAAGATGGAATGCCTCTTTTCCAGTAAAATGGGTCTCCGGTTCTCTACACTCACCATACGAAACGCAGCAATGTCAAGCTGCCACTTTACGCTGGTATTCTGTGAGAGCGTGGTCCTTCCCTGGTCGAGCCGACCCATTCGTGCTACAACTATAATACTAATATAGCTGCGGCATGGCTCTCACAGTCCCGTTTTACGAAACCTACTGGAAGATATGCAGTGATGAATTATCATGCTCCACCATCATATGGCAAGGGTACGGTTTTGCGTGGCCTTTTGGCCAGGATCGAAATAAAGGAGAATAAGAGAGAGTCTGAACATCTTAGCCTTATCACTATTTGACAATGCCCGAAAATATTTCACCTAAAAGTGAAAAAAATTAGATCACCTGATGATAAGCAGATACCTTGGCCAATACACAACTATATACTAATCCAATTCAATTATATTCACAAATGATTTGTAAGTACCCTGTTTAAACGTTAATCGGCGCAAGAAGGTAAATACATATTATGGTATCTTTCATTGCTTATATAGTTCTATACTCGAGAAAAATCAAGGCGCAGGCGACTTCAGTATGTTGAGGCCAGTAGTAGTCGAGCCAATCTACATAACACGGCCATTATCTATCTGTGGTGTGGTCCTATATCGTCCTGATGTGGAATATTCCGTCACCACATTTCGTCCCTTAGGCAACGTAAGAGGTGACTTCGAGAAATGTGAGAAAAATCTTATGGCTTTCGTTGGATAAAGATGTAACCATCTTGTTTACACCAGACTTAAAATATACAAGCTGGAAACTGGAGCACCACTAAAGGTGTGACACGTCAAGCACTACTATTTTCGATCCAGTCTGTCAAGCGTGGTGAAATTAATTTATTTTTATGTGAATGATGACGATGACTTCTTCTCTTATTGTCATGATGGACAATATTATTCTAGCCACGGCGATCATCACCATTATAGCATATCAAAATTACACTACTGAACATAGGCCTACCTTATAGATGGAATTTTTGCAATATTTGTCATGCTTGTTAGGAGGGTTGGTAACCGCAGTTTTTTATTAGTTCGCGTTGTTATCAGTAAGATGCTGCTGCCCATCTCTTGTTACAAGTCATTCTATAGCACTTACGACATTCACGGGATAATATAGGGTGGTGGAATTTTTCACGCCGCCACTACAAGACACAAACGTCACATATACCAGATGCAAAGTATCAAAACGTGCAAGACGTTTGGTACCTACTGCGACCTCGGATCCGTCTGTGAAGCGGTTACGGAAAATCCTCCCTCAATCCTCCTCCCGGTTGGGTTTAACTGGCTGGTGATGAAGGAGGTACAAACTGTTATATACAAATAGAATTAAGAAATGATACAATATTACGTGGTAGAGTCATGCTGCAGCTATATTATGGTTGTAGCACGAATGGGTCGGCTCGACCGGGGAAGGACCACGCTCTCACAGAAAACCAGCGTAAAATAGCAGCCTAACGCTGCTGTGTTTCGTATGGTGAGTGTAGAGAACCGGAGACCCTTTTTACTGGCAAAGAGGCATTCCATCTTAGTCCTCACGGGTGACAACGCATCTGCATCTTGAGTCTTTATTGAGGATAGATATAGATGTCTATGGGTCACAGTAACCACTTACCATCAGGTGGACTGTGTGCTCGTTTGTCACCCGATCCTATAAAAAAAAATATTAATCATAATTTTGTTTATTTTCAGCTATTCTGATGTTGTTACCGTTAACCTACTCTAGAAGATTAGGTAATCGACTGATTGGTACACATACATCAGTTGTAAATATCTACTTGCTACTTTCGGTGGCACATGAAGGCCTTTTCATAGTTGCTCTGATATTTAATACCACTTGCTGGATGATTATAGAGTTTCGACTGCTTAATTTGGGTCATGTTAAGGTAAGTCCCGTGGGTTGATAAGCGACAGAAGGAAACTGAAAAAGGAGATAAATGGCAGCATTTTCGTGATAACTCAAAATTATAAAAACTACGGTTGGCAACCCGTCTGCCAAGCGTGACAACTATTGCGAAATGCCCCCCTATGAGGCAAAGAGGGAGGCCTATGTTCATTAGACTTGTAGGCTGTAATGGATAAATGAATGTATGCATATAATTCTTGCTTTCGTGAAAATCGAAGTAATGCAACTTCTAAAATTTTCATAGGATTTGATGTATTCATGAATATTATATTTATATTACGACTGAATTTCATCCGACATCAAAAACAGGAGGATGTTCACTATTTAATTTTTCAACTATACTTTAGGCTGAATTTATTTTGTTAAGTCAACTCTGCGAAGACCGGCATACTAAATTAAAAAAAAATACAAATGGTCTTAGTTTGGCTATTCTTTAACCTTAAATTAAAATTTGGTTAAACTAGATAATAATATATTTAGTTGATCTGACATTAAATATGTCAAAATGACAAAAAAGACCACCGGTTCCATCGGCTCCCATGTCGGTTAAGACCGAACTGAAAAGAAATAAGGTTTTATTGCGCTTATTTCGCGAGATGCTGCATTTGTCGGGTAAACCCGGCATACTTTGCAGTTCCAGGGGTGCAAAACCTTGAATAATAACCAGCTTTTTAATAGTAAGTAAAGTTTTATTAAAAAAAATCAATGGTTATACTTGCTAAATTAAATCAAAAATGTTTTTTGTATTGTGCTTAGTATTAAAACGATGAGATCCAAAATCGTAGGATAGTAATAAGCTAAGAATTTATTCTTAAGTAAAGGCTTAATAAGACACCAAAGGATGACGATTTCTGAAAGTGGCGAAGACCGGCATATGACATTTATTACCCTCCAAGACCTAGACGGACTTACCCGCAACATATTTTGAAATTAGTTTTTATTTTCATCAAGCATAACTTAGTAAAAAACGTGTATAATACTAATGTACTTATGAAATAGATATCTTAATGAAGAATAAACTTACTTGCATAAATTTACGTTCTAATAAAAAAATAATTTTTTTGTTAGAACGTGGTACACTCCCAATGCAAGGTGCTCACCGTACTAAACAAACAACCGCACTTTTTTCCGTTCTCACTACATAAACCACCATCTATGTCAATTGATAAGGACTAAAATCTTTTCTAATCTTTTTTTTTTTTTTTTAAAAACGTTACCCCCACACTAGGATTTTCTCCTGTATCGTGGAGGCAGTTTACAAACACAAATTGCACAAGGACAAACATCCAGACCCGGAACAATTATTTGTAGGCCATACAAATACTTGTTCCGTGCGGGATTCGAACCCGCGGCCCCCTGCTCAGCAACTCATTGCTAAGACACTGCGCCACGGAGCCGTCATGGTCAAAATGGTTTTATTGTTCAGCTGATTGTATTGACATCTTCGTAGTTCTGCTGAATTCGTTGTAATTCTTGTTGTACGATCTTCCCCGATAGACGGTCTTCGCCGAGTTGACCCTACTTCTATATTCTTCTATATTAAGATCCAAAAAATAAATTTTACAATAATATTCGTCGTCGGGTGCCATTTAGGTAGAACTCTATTGGTGGTTGGTTGTGTTTGGTTTTGTTTTGATGGCACAAACATACCAGATAACGTTTTGCTATCTGGTATTAAATTAACCGGTTTCTCAGCTTTTTTTCTAAGCACTCAGTCTGTCTTATTACGTAAATCAGAGGTTCATTATCATAATTTCGTAATGCATTTAGGTTTAGGTTTTTTAGGGTTCCGTACCTCATAAGGAAAAAACGGAACCCTTATAGGATCACTTTATTGTCCGTCTGTCTGTCTGTCAAGACCCTGTTTCTCAGGAACGCGTGGAGGTATCAAGCAAATTCATAACTTTTACTCAAGTCTACTGTCCCTTGGAGCTGTGAAAAAATCAAACTTCTCAGCCAACGCAATCAAAAGATACAGCCATTTATATCGCAAATTTTCGACATTCGCAAGGGAATCAAAACCTACAGGGTACTTCCCGTGAACTCAGAATCTTAAAAATTGGTACGAAACAACGTATTATAACATAGATAAAGGAAAAATTGCGAAAAGCATAAATTTTTAGTTACATCATATAATAAAAATATTTTTAATAATTTTAAACTTATATATCTACGGATTTGTTCGAAACCCTCGGTGCGCGAGTCCGACTCACACTTAGTCGGTTTTTTGTCATGTGGAATGATTACCCTCCTCTCGGGGGATAGGTCGGACTTGTATTAAAATCGATTAAAATCCCATGGTCTACCTTCGCTGCATATAGGTAGGGTCACGTGAACGCTTTCCCACATATTCGCTACCCAACTAGCGCGAAGTCCCGTTGGTGGCCCTTCTACGGAAGACAAATCCTCCCCTCGTTTTTTTAAAAATATAGAATGGGGTGACAAAGGAGCACAACAGTCCACCTAATCTGGGTGCTGTGGCCCATAGCCATCTACATTCATCTTCGATTAAGAGTCAATATGCAGATGCATTGTCACCCCTGAAGACTACGATGAAATGCCTCGTTTCCAGTAAAAAGGGTCTCCAGTTCTCTACACTGACCATACGAAACACATCAGCATTACGCTGCTATTTTACGCTGACATTCTGTGAGAGCGTGGAACCTACCCCGGTCGAGCCGACCCATTCGTGCTGCAACCACAATATAGCTGCAGCAAGGCTCTACCACGTCAAGTCGGCAGGGAAGGCGCACCTTGCTACACGTCTTCGCTCTCTAACTGCACAGCAAACGCCCCAGAGAAGGTTCGGAAGCATCAGCCCTTTCGCTTGCGGATCTGGTCTATGGCTCCGCCGAAGACTACTTGAGAGCCACGGAGAGTAGCGAAAGTGGCGTATTGTGAAACAGACATCTTTCTCCCCGCAGCCCCACCACTGCCAAATCAGCTGTGCGCTCTCGCCAGTCCCGCAGAATAGTGTGTGGCACTTCTTTCGGCTGCGCATGACAGGGTGTGAGGATAACCTTTCCGCCACAGTCTACCAACATACATTTAAAGTGGACTCTCCAAGCGCACTCCGAGCGGCATTTTCGGGTCTTTATCTCGGAACAGCTAAGCCCACCTTCTCCTGCAACTACAAGGCGGGAACCATCCTTTCCGCACAATTACTAATATCGTTACATCCAGCCCCGCCATATCCTAGTATAACTAATATGATTTTTCTATTTCCAGATAACTGATTACTCTTTCAGCAAAGACAACGAAGAATTAGAAAAAAGTTTATCATCTATTGAAAGAGATATTAGCAGTAATGATTTTCGTAGAGGGTTCTTTTACGTATCCTTTTTAATTTAAAAAAATTTCTTCGCATGCTTTGTTTTTAGGGTTCCGTAGTTAAACAATAAGGAACCCTTATGGTTTCGCAGTTTTACTCAAAGATCCTAGGTGCTACAAATTGGTAATTTGGCATAGTTATAATTGTTACAGTCAAACCCACTTTTGACTTCATAAATCAGGCCAAAGTAGTTTTGACTAAGGACGTTGGTCAAAACCACATTTAAGCTCAAAAATATCGGGTAATAGTGATTTTGGCCAAATTATATCGGTTAAAAGTGGTTTTGACCAAAAAATGTTAGTCAAAATACTTTTGATTGGTATATTTTTTTATATACTCCGATACTTAGGTACGGTATGTAATGTAGGTAATGTATGATAAGGCTATTTGCGTCTAATAAAACATTACACCTATCTTGCTATATCAGTGACTGTAGGTCAAAGTGCGGCTGGGGTTGTCCTTGGGCCAGCCTAAAGCCGCTACATTATAATGATATCGTTAACCAAATGAGTAAATAAATTAAAATATAATATTGAAAGGATTTAAATAGAACGTTGGTCAGGACCACATGACTACAAAAATCAGTCAAAACTGTTTTTGAGTAAGGACATCAGTTAAACTCATTACTGCCTGATTTTCGCAATCAAAAGTGGTTTTGACTGTTACATAAATATTAATCACGTTGTGAAATAAATTCTTGAAAAACATTTTTATTTTAGAGACCTCCCATACAGGTGATTCATTTTACCCGTTTATCCCATCGTGTGGGGTGTCGTTGGATAAATCTTGCAAAAATATTGGGAGTCAAGGTCAACATTTTTTAGATTTGGGGGTCCGGCTGCCAAATATTTAGCTTTAAAGTGGTATTTTTTATTAGTCATGTGTCCGCCACCTTGTGAAAAGTATGCACTATATTAGTATATACAGGGTTATTTTGCAATAAACGTCCAAATTTGCAGAGAAGATTCAGAATAAGTAATATAGGCGAATGGTGAAGAAAAATTAATTAAAAAAATCTGTAACATTCTGCCCATTTTATCTTTTAAATTTAGAATGCGTGGTAATGCATTATTTTTATTGATTGTCATTCATAAATATCCAACGCCTTTTAGTACGCACGCACACATTCTTAAGGGTCGCTTGGTAGGCAAAAACGTTGTGAATTGAATCGAATACAGAGGAGCACGCATACGACCAGTTGTTGCCCATAAATCACATTCGATTTGGGATAGTTTCAAATAAAAGTAGAAGCCTTATTTACTCGTATTTTCAACAACTGCAATATATATATATATAGCGTGTTCGGGCGGGGGGAGGTGACCTCGGTTCCCTAAAAAAAAATTCTATCCCGACCGGTTCGCGCTCTACGCCATGTTTTATAAAATCCCGAAAATTCGTACTTTTGCTCACATTTGTGGACATCACGTCCGAAGTTTAATGACTAGATCGGATTTTATTCTTTTAATATGTTCTCTAATAATGATGTTTCCAAATTATCCTTAAAAGTTTTCAACTACTATGGGTAGTATTTTACAAGACGGCAATAAACATAACTTTAAATTTTTTACTTTATTTAACTTCTAAGTTTGAGCACCTGTGGTGAAAGAAAAACGTATGGGATCTGTGTGGCCAACCATTTAAAAAGTTTGCCTACATCATGAGAATTCTAAAACAGTAGCACACCATGCACTTAATATAATTACTTACTGAGCTATACCCGTTAATGTGTAAAAGTAGGCATTTCATTACAAAATTACAAAATTATTGGCAGATAGTTTTTTTTAACGTTGCATGTATTTATTAGGTAAGTACATCTGTTGCCCTTGAAAATTTTACTTTACTACCTGGTCGCCTTGTTTGGACGAATTCTAAGCTGTGTGAGCGAGACAAACAGTGAAACTTGACATGTTCTATTATGTACAGATGCGTAAATTAATGAAAAGAAAATGAGTTATATCCAATTTTTATTTTTATTTAAAATCGTTTACACAAAATGCCCGAACTGGCCTCCTCCAGCCCTTATACATACTCTACAACTTTTTCTAGGATTTTTTTGAAGAAAACGGCTTATGCATTACTAATATAGCTTTACGTTTTCCTTTACGGGATAGGCAAAGAGGATCGATTGCCAAAATACCGATTCTGACATACCACTTTCGCTTATTATCTACCGACTTCAAAAATGAGGAGGTACTCAATTCGAATGTATGTTTTTATCTTTTTAGGTGTGGTTACCTCATAACTTTTTTTGGGTGAACCGATCTTCTCATGTGATCCCATATAAATTTAATCAAGGTCTGACTAATAGTTTTTGAGTTATTCTTAATAATTTATATTGAAATCGGTTGTACAAAATTTTAAATTATTTAGTTAGTAGTTAAGTAAGTAAGGCCTACAGTTTCATTCGTGGTACTCTTGGTTTGCATGGTACTTGTGGTTTACACAGGGGACCCTCAGGATGTTTAGAGCAGCGGTGGTTTGTACTGCCGGAAACTAATAAATAGATAGGGAACTATGACCATTTTTGTACGGACTTGGCATGTGAATGATTTGATGTAGATTGTGTTATTTTTAAGAGCGAAAAGTTTTCTTTTATCTTTTATGAATACAACTCCTTATAAGTCTGCTTAGAAAATAAGTCCTTCAGTTACCATCGTCCTATTTGGGTCCATTTTTAGTCGTATAGCGGTGAAACCGTGAACTCACTTAATATCCTCATAGTATAAGGCCCCTTCTAAGTTCACGTATTGTGACAGGCAATTACACGCCCTACATTGTGCGTGGCCTGACACACACTTGGCTGCTTTTTTATGTTTACGTTGCTATTAGTTCTAGTAGATTGTTAAGTTTTAGCAGGCCTGTCTCACTCCGCGCTTTAGGCTTGAAAATATACCTACGCTGCGCGGTCGTCTGCAACAGGTTAATTCCGTGAGGTAGTCACGCGCGCGCTCGAGTTGACGCGCGCCTTACGTTAACAAAAAATATTTTCTCATAAATATTTAGGCACTTTTGATATGTATTTATTTTTTAGTTTTTATTCAAGTATGGCCCCTCAAAAAGCCAAAACGTACTGCATAGCATGCGAGTGCTTAAATAACAATAGGAATGTCGACTTTTTATTTTTTACTGTTCCTAAGGATACCGAAAGGTAATATTATTATTATTTATAGGTAGATCTAGACAATTATGTGCCTAGTTACTGACGCCTAAGTTACACATTTATTATTTGATTAGCGACCCGTCCACAGCTTCGCAGTTTTCGATTTTTTCGCGTATAATGACAATGACCTTAAAAATTAAGTAGACCTCCCAGTACTAGCGTCTGTCTACTAATGCAAGAAGAGTTATTTGTTTAACAATTGGTCGATAAAAGAAAGAGATTGGAAATAGCAGCACTTCTCATTGCCACTCTTTCATTAATACTGCCGTAGCGTGGCGCATGTTTGTAAATAGCAAAAAATGTGAAACGGACATGTCACGACTCCGTGCCGCAGTGGCTTAGCAATGAGTTGCAGCGCTAAGCGCCGGTTCGAATCCCTAACGGAACAAGCACTTGTATGGCCTACAAATAATTGTTCTGGATCTGTTCTATGTATGTAAACTGCCCCCGCGATACAGGAGAAAATTCTAGTGTGGAGGTAACGTGTTTTAAAAAGAGAGAAAGAGAGACAAGTAATGAAATTAAAAAAAATTGTACAACCAACTTTGATATTAATACGTATTATTAAGGATCACTCCAAAACTACTGGTCAGATCTTGATCAAATTTATATGAGATATATAAATTATAAGCTTCTAAATCAGTTCAGTCAACAAAATCAGTTCACCTAGAAAAAAACTTTGAGGTAACACAAAAAAATACAGTCGAATTGAGTACCTCCTCCATTTTGATGTCGGTTAATATGATAAGTAGGTAAGTTATCTAAGTTTCAAAGACGTTCACGTTGTTATAATCTTAATTTTTCTAGATGTTTTATATTAACCTTCGTCACATTGAACAATAATGTTTTTATTATTAGCAAATTGCTAATACATTTCATAACACCTCGGTGTGTTTTATTACCGACTAATATCAAAGGATTCAAGTTTTTTTTTTCGCACAACACCTAACTACACTACAAACTACAGTAGGAGCGGCCTTAACAAAGGCGCGTATCGGGCTAAGTGATACAGACAGTACGCAGAATTAAGGTGCATTTTGAATACGCGCGCCGCATTAGTTTTTTTTGATGATTTGATCGGTAGGTTATTTTAACAAAGGTCACTTTCGAGGCGTGCAAAGTATTATGAACATTAGGGATGTTGTAACTAGGTTTAAACTCGCAAGTTTGCTATCAGATAGTGATCTTTCTGTTCTTCTACTATTATTTATTCTGTGGTTTTAGCTAAATTTAAATATAATTGAAATCCTGTTTCCGTCTTTTTGTATGTGTTCAATAAAAACAACCTTGCTCAGATATGGGCACAACACTTATTTAAAATCAAACCTTACAAACCTCTACAAATAATAAAGATATAAGCCAAGATAAGAGGACTTGTATTATGATGGCAAGCTCATATTATGTGTATTTAAATTTTATACGACTTTTTCCTTAACCCTAATTCAGACCTTGTACATTATTTTAGCATTTTTCGGCACAGGGAACATTGCTTCATTAAATTCGTTCGAAGTGAGATGGGTTATTTGTTTTACAACATCATTTCAGCCATTCGTCATAACTGCCCTTATATTGCTTAAAACTTTGGCTCCTTTTTTGTGCGTCGGCTGCACTTTCAGAGCTGTGCAACATATAACCAAGGTAAATGTTTACCATAAAGTACTTAAACTTATCTTATCTGTATTAGACTTGGAACGTATAGTATATTCGGCCTTACGCCGAATACCGAATATCCTGCGATCTTCCTGGCCGAATAACCGAATATTAAACAAAAGTATGCGGCCGGGAAGGAAGTAGTGTTTATTCATCAGAGCGTCTATTTTCTGAAGCTGTGATTGTCTACGAGAAGAAAAGGAGTAAACTACTGCCTGAAAATGAAGAAAAAATAGTCTTTCTGCACCATTATCTTGCACTTTAATGACGATAATTCGAGTGCATAGACATTTATCTGATAGTTCTTTTTTTAATTTTATAATATGGAAGTTGATTATGATACATAACCATAATCAACTTCCACAACTACTTTAAATATTACAAAAAGAAAATACCAAAAAAATAAATATTTTAATTTTACCAATTATCTAACTACAATAAAACCTTACTTGAGTATTCGGTATTCGGCCGAATGGGATAAAAGTAGTCGAATAGGCTGAATACCGAATGATAGCCGAATATTCATTGCAAGTGTAATTTGTTTTTTGAACTTGTTATTTGTCTTTAGTTTTTCGCCGTTAAACTAATATATTATCTAGCTATTATGATTAGTGAGCCATAAAAACTCTACAGTACAATGAGTTTTGATTAAATTTAGTATCAAAACGTATTTTACTAATATTTGCACGTAATATAAAATCCTTGTTTCAGGCACCAGCGGACTACTTAAACATAATAGTGCTCGTATATTCAAATCTAATGGGTGTTCAGTTACTGTACAACGTTAAAAATACCGGCAGTTGGCTAGAAATTGGAACGTCTATATCTCAGTTTGTAATCGTTCAAGTTATAACATTATTTATTGTTATAATTAATCAATTATCTAAAACGTGGACTGAGACGGATTTGTTTAGTTTTACTGTTAAAATGATTAAAAATAGAAAAAAAAATGTTTAGAATTAGTACCCACTGTTATTTAAAATAAAAGATATTTTACTAAAATACTTTTTATGACCAGCTTCTGTCCGCGTGGAAACAGAAACGAAACCTTAACTTTGTTTTCCCAATAGTAAAGGTATCCCATATGTTAATTCAGAATATGGTCTGTCTGTAAACCAATTTCATCCAAATCCGTTTATTATCCGTGGTATAGAGAAACATCTTCACAAACTTTCACACATTTCATACAAGCTTAATGGCTTAAAAGGTATTTGATTAAGCTTAAGCTTAATCAAATACCTTTTTCCCGTAAGGAAAGCAAAAAAATCTTGTCTTCCTTTGGTTAGAGTAAACGATGAGATGAAATGTTAGTATATTGTATAATGGTGTGGCGGGTGGAAGGAAAAGGGGAGATCTCCCGCCGGGCAAGGTGTTCTGCCCGGGGAGCGGCCAACGGTCCATGATAGTTCGGAGCTATTCTATATAATATGCTGCTTTAACTTCAAAACTTTGTTAATGCTATTTAGGCTTCGATGTGTTTCGCTTGTGGCGCGACGACAACGCCGCCACATCACCCCCCTGCTCAGACCGGAGGTCGATAGTGTAGTCCGATTGTCGGTGCGTCCTTAATGCCGGTGGGGAATGCATGCTGTGTGCGTAAGGGCAAGTGACGCCTGTGCGAACGATATGCCGATGTGTAACGCATGCCATACTACGCACTTGCAAGTGATGCCGGTGAGAACAATGAGCCGGAGCAAGTGCCAGGGATTACCTTGTAGTCTGCGGTGAGTCGAGAAGAAGGCAAGTAATCTGCGAGAGTGCCGTGAAGCAGAGGCGAGCAGTAAGGCTCAGAGCCGTGCCGAATATTGTAGCGCAGAGAGTAGCTTGAAGGAACAGGAAGCCTTATTATTCCAGTGCTGCAATGAACCTTTATAAAGCTAGATGGCTTGCAGAATGTGAAGACATCAGACAATATCTGCTCGGGAGCGAATGAATGGGGTATTTGAGGACGACGACGAAGGTTTGAAATTGTAGTTTCCGAAGGTTGTTGGTTGCGTGTTCATATCACGTCGGGGTCACCACTGTGGCGAGTGGAAGGAAAAGGGTAGATCTCCCGCCGGGCAAGTTGTTCTGCCCGGGGAGCGGCCAACGCTCTGAATGGTAGTTCGGAGCTATTCTATTAATGCTGCTTTAACTTCGGAACTTTGTTAGTGCGATTTAGGCTTCGATATGTTTCGCTTGTGGCGCGACGACAGCGCAGCCACAATGGTAATGGAAATTATTATCATCTGTAACGTCTATGTCATGCCTATGCTGGTAGATGTTGGGAGCACTACGCTAGAAGTTGTCGACGAGTATGCACCTAAGACACATTTTCTCGTCAGGTATACCTAAAAAAACTTAAAAACAAGACTGTAGAACCAATGCCTCCTCCTATATAACCTCCACGATGCAGCAGAAAATGCTAGTGTGAGGGGTACAAAAAAAAGAAAAACGTGTATGTTGCCAGTGATGATATGGATCTGTGCCGCGGTCCTTCTCTGCTGGCTGAATGAGGAAGCTCAAGGTCGCTCAGCGAGCTAAGGAGAACTATGCTCTGTATTTCTCTGCCTGATAAACGTTAGAATGAGGATATCCGCAGTAGACAAAGAGTAACCAATACAACGGATTAGTAAGCTGAAATGGCAATGGGTAGGCCTAATGGGTGCCCCCCTCCCCGCACTAGATGGAGTGACAACCTGGTATGAGACTTGCAGGAAAGATTGCAGTTGGTTCAGGACCGTGTTTTGTGGTATTCCTTGGGAGAGACCTATGTTCAGCAGTGGCCTTATGAAGGGTTGTAATGATGATGACGATGAATGGAAAGTATTGTCATAGGCACAGATAGACCCACATCAACAATCTTATGACCACACTTGGACAAAGGTCTTTCTAAGAATGCGCAAGCTAGTAATCGTTTCTTGGAGGTTTTGGTCCATATTTATTTTGTTGTTTAGTGAGCACAGAGCCAATTCCACATGCATACATGATCACTCACGCCTGTGGCCCAGACGGTCGGGCAGAGACCACGGCTTCACGTCCATATACCTACGCATATATGCTCTTTATAGTTAAGAGTACCCTTAATTTAGTCCATCTTTAAAATAACATTAATTCTTTCTACATAACCAAACCAATGAAGCATTTCTTTCGAATCCTGATCACAACATCTTGCAAACGCACTTTTCTATTATCATACAATTTCTCACCCTGTTATTCAGTCACCTTTAAGATACTCCTTAACCACCGCATTTTTACAGCATTAATTCTTCTCTAATACTTCTTTTGCCACATCCAACTTATACACGTGTATTCAATTTTCAAGTATGATATACATTAAGGTAGGGACTAACCTGTGTTAGTATAGTTTAGTTTACGACGGGCTGTTTTCCGCAACTCCACGTCTATGCGCGTATTTTGCGTGTGGGCAGGAATAATGTGATTATTCGAGCCATGAGATCTCCCCGAAGAAGCTCAACAGTCCCTTGATGTTGCATGCAACTTCGGGGAGTGATCCCGGCGTGCCGAGATGTTTAGCCCTGTACATAGCGACCTCCGGACATTTCAATAGCACGTGGGCCGCCGTTTCTTCCTCCCCCATACATGCCCTGCACAGGGGACTATCTGTAACACCTATAGTAAATAAATGTTTGTTAAAGGTGCCGTGTCCTGTGATAGCACTTGTTACTATCCTGATCTGCGGCTTGTTCAGTCTCATTAAAACTTTGGTTAAGCGACTGTTTATTTCAGGCAGGGCCTCCCTAGCTTGCCTACAGTCTACTAGATTTTTCCAAAGCTGAGCGTGTTGATTATTGAAGTGTACGTACCAGTGAACGAACGTTACCAAAGGGAATTGGTATGATTGGTACCGGCCCTATAGTGGCCAGAGCCGATCCTCTTCTGGCCAGTTCGTCTGCTGCATCGTTGCCTCTGGATCCACTGTGTCCCTTTATCCATTGCAGAGTCACATTGTTGTTTTTACATACCTCATTTAATCGTCGATGGCATTCATATATTTGTCTCGAGTTCACCATATTGCAACTCAGAGCTTGTAGTACCGCCCTACTGTCGGCCAGTATTCTGATTGGGAAGTCATTAACTTAACTCAAAAAGTCATTAATTAACACTTCCCTCCATCCCCTAGGAACATATTTAAGAGCCAGACAGGCTCTCATTATGGCAACAAGTCTGACTATTAGGGCTTTACTCCCCACTGTAGGAGTGCCGGGAATATGCCGTCAGGTCCTGCCGCCTTATAGGGGAGGAAACTGTGAATGGCCCAATGGATTTTGTCCATCATTACCACTCTCTGTGCTAAATTCCAGTCTTCTGCTGTTGGTGTCAGTATGTCGTAATGCCGGTTTGCTTCCTGAGTTACGCAGCAACCTGGGAAGTGCGTTTCAATTAGGATGCGTTGGGCTTCATCCGGCGATGTTTAGTAGCCACCGTCGGGTTTCTTTAGAGAGATGAATCCCGACGTGTCCTGTTTAGCAAGAATATTCCTTATCCTATTTGCTTGTTCGCAGGTTTCTATGTTGCCACAGAATTTACGCCACCCACTCGAGCGTTGATACCTGTTACATTTTTTGTATTCAGACTTAGCTTTCCAAAAATAGGCCTGCCAGCAGATCTCGGGTTACATCGTCAGCCACCGAGTCGGAAGTGGTCGGCAAAATGCAGTCCTCTTCGTCACTCAGTGAGCTGCCGCTGAGCCCGATCTCTACTGGGGGCTTCGGCTCAATTGTGCAGCCCGTTTTTTTACTGGACTTGGCCTCCAGTGATTCCGCTGTACCGGTAACCATGGCTCCGGTATCCATAACTTCCGGGTTATTTTCTGTCTCTTTGCTCGGTGGAGTGTCAAAGAATTTACCTCCACGACCCTGGAATTTTACGTATACCGCCCCGCATACACATGCGAGACGGCGTCCGGCCTTCATCAGGGTCGGGATATGATCCTCCGGCACCGAAACAACGAGGAACCACCCGTCCGTCTGCTTATCAGCCTTGAGTAACAGCCAGTCCCTGATGTTAACCCAGCGGTTCTGGTACGCCAGCACGCGACCAATGTCGCGTTATTCTTTCCAGGCTCCTTGGGCATCAGGGATAAGGATACCACATTTGACTCTTTGTGGTATCTCCGACTGTTTCTTTATGGTCAGCAAGGTGTTGGATTTAAGGTCGAGGGTAGCAATATTCCCCTTCAACCAATCCAGAGCCTTCTGATCGTCGCACCACAGTTTCAGGACACCCTCCGTGTAAACGGGTTTGCCCCTAAAAACTAGGCCCGACGCATCAGGGTCCTGGCTACTCAAGGCCTCGCTGATCATCTTCCTCTGTATTGCCACGAGGATGTCGTCTGCTACTTCCTTCGTAATGTGACCTGAACGCGCACACGATAAGGCCACACCCAAATCTGCTTTAGCAGCGGAAGCGTAGCTTGTTCTTGCAGCCTTTGGATGCTGTTCGAGTCGCACTTTTTTGTGTTCACCTCTAGGCGAGGTGGACTCTTCCAGCATCCTTTTGGCTGCTCTTTCCTTCTTCCCAGGACGCTTAGCCGCTCGCTGCTTCCTGGCGGATATCCTAGAGCTGGTTCCCGCGGCCGCGACTTCCACTTGGGCTGGATTGTTATCCTTTCCAGCTTCAGCGCGGCTACTGGTTCCAGCCCCAAGCACCCCAGTCGCAGTAGCTTGCCCAGCCTCCTTGGTTTTAGTTTTGGAAGCAGCCAATGCGGCTCGTTCTCTTAGGCCTTTTACCCGCTGCTTCTTGTTCTTCTTTTTGGCCTTTCCACTACTGCCTGCAGGTATAGACCCTCCTGATGGTCCGTCACGTCGGCAAGTCACCTTTTTGGGTGCCTTGCCTTTCCCCTTACGGCTCACCACTTGCCAGGCAGCAGAGAAAAGGTCGTCAGTTCTTTGTGGCTCCGCAGGAGTTTTGTTACTCGCGGGGTCTTGTTCTTTTTTCGCGTTTAGCTCCTCAGGTTTTGAACTGGTTTTGGAAACGTTCAGCGCGGTAGTTGTC